TATTTGACAACTACAATATGCATTGGAAGACGTACATTAGATATAAAATGATATGTATTGTCATTTAGATTGACACTAGCAGGACAATTAAAAACAAACTGAATATGATCACTTAATGATATGTTTTTGGAGGTGTTTTTTTTGCGACAATTTTAAAAATCCTAAGAAAAAGGGAAATCCGAGTAATTGGATGCAAATGTACGATAATGTGGTGGCAAATTTAAATTACGGCAGTCGAGAAATTAACAAGCGAGCTACATTGGACGTTCTTCGGTGACTATACTCTATAGATAGGTATAACACACACTCCACATTTCTATGCCCAAAAAACCTGCCGCATAATCAACTATTTACTCGGTCTTCTGCAAGATACTAATTAAACATGAAACAAACTATTAAATCTGTAAGAAAATATTAAAGCCCTCTTGTTTTTCGAGACCACGAGGGCTTTTGCTCAAAATTAAGAAGTGTGCTATAATGTAATAGTTAAGTAAAAACATCCAGAAACTTTAGTTATAATGTGATAAACAAGAGAGTGAAGCCTGAATGAGTGAATTTCCTAACACGTGGTTTATATGAACATTTCATGACTGTTAAATTGTATTAACATGAACATTACCAACAATATTAATATAAAAATTGACACCACGTGTTGACATCCGCGAAACCCCAACATTTCAGATTAGAAAACCATTAATAATACTGTTACGAAATAAACCCATACGCCGCCCCGGTACGACGCCTATGCGTTTTCTAGTATGTGCGGCGATGATGTGTGATTCATCGTCGGTGACGGCGTTCGCTAAAGAAAAGCCTGGAAACGGAAGTCGGATGGGTGCACGAGAATAAGCCTAGAAGCGGTAACAGCGACCTTTCGACAAGGATCGCGTGGCTGTTTAAATGGGAACCACCCGTAGGGAGCAGTTAGTAAAATCCAGACAATGGGAGAAGTTGAGTCTAGTCAAATCCATTCCAGTCAGAATTATTGTGTACATAATCGCTATGTGATTAGTCGTGTAAATTTGAGTTAGTAAGAAATAAATTGTTGAGTTTTACCTAATTTTCTAGACGGTCTACCACTCTAACTGAAGATTTCTGCACATGGGTGTCTATGTTTAACGATTTTCTTAACCACACTATGTAAATTGATTAAGTTCCACCATTTGAACAGTACCTAGTAAAATGTTATTGGTATTTCAAAATTAACCATCAAGGTTGAACACATAAAAGCATAAATCACAAATTCAATGGCGGCACGCTCCTTTTATTGGCGTCATTATCCCCCGGCATTGTCCGACAATCCCTTACAGTAGATGTAAAATTTTACAAGGTACTGTTGTAATGTTGGAACTTTACGTGTGTTCTTGCTAAAAAGTTGAATGGTGACAAAATTTTGTTATAAAATTTTATGCTGAAATATACGTAATTTTTCCTGTACTACACTCCCCCAAAAATTATCGCACCACCTCCAGTTCTAGCCAACCGGACTAGATGTGGTTACCATATACGTAGTAGTGATAAATGTGTGCAAGATAATGCCAAAAAATGACAATATTTAAAAAATATACGTATTCTGGGCCTGATTTGGAGACTGTCTTAATGTAGGTACATAAGTTTATAAGCGTTAATTAAATTAATATCGTGTATTTACACCCTTGACTTGAATAACGGCTTCCATCCGTCGCTGCATACCTTCGTAAAAGTTCACAATATTGTCTTGAGGAATATTTTCCCATTCTTCCGTAAGAACTGCTTCTAGCTGTTGGAGAGTTCTAAAAGCAATTCGACGGCCCGCAACACGATATTGCAGAGTATCCCACACATGCTCGATGGGATTCATATCAGAGCTTCGAGCTGGCCGTTCCATAACAGGCGTATCTGTTTCTCTGAAATAAGCTCGTACAACGCGCGCTATGTGCGGCCGAGCGTTATCATGCATATAAACAAAATTTGGACCAATAAATGGTCCGTATGGAATGACATGTGGTCCCAAAATGTCTGTTATGTAACATACAACTACCAAACGAGCTCCAGGTAATGGTACTAAGTCTGTACGACCTTGTAAAGATATACCAGCCCAAACCATAATGGAACCTCGACCGAACTGTACACTTGGTTGAAGTTACATTGAAAATACCGCACCCCAGGCCTTCTATACACCGGTATTCGTCTGTCATTTGAGCAAAGAGAGAATCTAGACTCATCAGAGAACATCACATTTTCCCAATCTTCAATTCCCCAATTCACATGCTTCCTTGCGAATTCTAGCCGGGCTACTCGGTGAGCTCTGGTGAGTAATGGTCCTTTTGCAGGAAAGCGAGCTAGAAGATTATCTTCGCGAAGACGATTTGTTACTGTCTGTACAGAAATATCCACATCTCGATGCCTCGTACGGAGCGCTGTTAAGTGCAAAAAGCGATCATCCCATGGCGAAGTCACCCTTCGACGACCTTGTCCTGGTCTTCTGGCAACACTTCCTGTTTCATGGGACCTTTGTGCAAGTCTAATTATTGTGGAATGATTAACTTCTAAAACTCTTGCTACGTATCGTTGACTACGACCATCTTCCAACAGAGTCAATGCTCGTAGAACTTCGTCGTGGCACAAATGCAAGGTTAAGCGTTGAGGGACCTCCATAATGTCGAATATGTATGACAGTAGCGTTAGATGTCTACATAAATCCTTTGCAAATCAAAAGGACGAAATTCGTATATGTGCATATTTATCCGAAGAACTAGAAACCATCGTTTTAATCCTCATATTGGGTTTTGTTCTGGCAAATAAATAAATAAAAATATGTTTGGATATGATTTGGCTCCATATGTGTCTTCTCCAAATTTTCAAATTGGAAATAACCAAAATTTTGAGGGTGGTGCGATAATTTTTGGGGGAAGTGTATAATAGTCCAAAAAAAATTAAATTCTTAAAATCAAATTTGATAGATAATTTATCCAAGAACCTGGATTCACTTTGATTGCACTTCAGGGATGAGGAACGTTCTGTTAAAACAATTTTAAACCAATTTTCAATTTTGCGTTAGGCAACCAGTAATACCAATGTGTATTAACCACTGGAACATAATAATTTATTAGAAGTTTGTAGCAGTTCTTTGCATATTTGTAAAGTGCCCCAAAAGTCACTACGGAAAATGAATCAAAATAGTTAGATCTGAATATAATGGGATTATTCCCTTTAATTTATGCGTTTTACGCAGACTTTTTATATAAGTCAATAACTTTTCGAAACCGGCCCCCATTGCAAAAATAATAAATTAGAGAATAGAGGAATCATTATTTTTTTATTTTGGGTGGTTAATCAACTTATTCCTGCTTTGGCTAAGTTAAACAAAAAATGTGTGGTGGTTATGGACAACGCATCATATCATTCAGGGCAGTTGGACAAGCCATCAACATTTCTAGTGAAAAAGTAAAATGGAAGAATGGTTGCTTAATCATAGTATTGAATTTGAATTGAGTTACTACAACAAGAAAATACACTCTCAACCTTCATCTAAGGATAGTGTGAAAAATTTATGGCTTGAAGCTCTCTCTAAATATACTCCAAGCATGTGGCAAAGTTTTTGTGGACAATATGCAAAACTTATTTTGGCAGACTGGAAAAAATTTTTCGTATGACATTCTCTCTTAAATTATTTCACTACCTGAATCTGATTCAGAGTCAGAATCAGAGAACGATGACGAAGACTCAAATGTTTCTAGTTTTTCTCTAAATAATCGAACTGGAATAAAATACTAAAGCATAAGTTGCCACAGGATGATTTTTTTAAATTTAGAAATTGTTTAACTGAAAGGAACAGGGATTACCATTCTTTAAATGATCATTTTATTTTATGTTGTATTATTTTATATTCGTTATTCCTTTACAAATTTTTTAGTAAAGCATTCCATATTTTATTTAGAAAAAAATTTCCAACATCACGTAATTAAGTCGCCATTTAGTCTTTAGTTAGGTAGGACACTTTATTACAGTTTATTTTTGACCTGAGGGCAGTTACCTTTTGGATATTATTCAAACAGCTATAAAAACATACAGTTTGCCTTTTGTCTCTTGATCCATGTATTCCAGATTTTGAGTACCATCAATTAGAACTAGGATGAATACTCCTGAAGTACAAAAAGCGTACAGAAGCGATATAGATATTATTCAGTTATTTATTTCTTTTCATTATTTTATTTTAACTGCTAAGAACAATTATATAATATAATAAAAAATGTTGGTACGGTTTATTAAAGTATAAACCTAATTATTACTTATTCAAATGTGCATTTTTGAATCGTATTTATTGGAATGGAAAATCCAAAGTGTGAAGTTCCTGGTACCAATGTTACAGTTTTTGTCAGATTTAATTAAAAACACCTTAACCGAATATGGTAAATTTCATTTTTCATTAGGGATCTTTGCATATATGAAATTGGTTGCCAACCAAATTACTAGATTTATATGGCCTACCATACCTAAAAACATCCTGAACGATATTATAATAAGTACTTAAGTACACAATTTAAATTTGTAATAAGTGAAAAAAAATAAATCATGTAAAGTAATCATTTTATTTGGAATTATCTTTTCCATCTTTTCGTCTCAATGGTCTTAGACCCCTTTATTTCGCTACCGCCTTGATACCGCTTAATAACGCTGTTCTACCTGCCGTTTTAAAACCCACTGGAACCGGTAAAATTATCGAGAATTCAAAAATACCCACAGGATAAGACATTTAACTGTAACAGCCACGTAACCCGCCAACATTCCAAGTCAGCAATAACGAGAAAAGCCTCAAAGAAAATCGACAACAATAAAATTCGATAAAACATAATAAATTCTTGAGTGCGCCTGGAGCATATGCAACCTAACATTCACTATCTCCGTCCCCTTTTCACACGTCAAGGGCGTCGTTTTCCTTCTTTCTCGCACTACACCTGCCACCTCCGCGGATGGACCAAAGAAACTGGTCTCGTGTCTCGTCTTTGACGACCGGAATCAACACAAAACACAAGTTGCGTTTGGTTCGAACGCTTCGCAGCGTGCGCGCATGTGGTGTTACGTGCTTACAGGCTAATTAAATATTAACAAAGATTTGAAAAGCGTTGTAATAACTTAAAAGTGTCCCGAAAAAGAATGTAGTGCCAGAATGTGGTGACAAAATCGCCAGGAGTCCCTTACGAGCCGAGTTCGGACCGATTTCGGATGCCAAAGGTGAGGTTAACTCAATGTTTTTGTTTTGTTTTGATTGTATACCGCATTCCGATGAGTTGAAAAGTTTTCGATGAGTATTTGAGATATAATTAGAAAACAAATATGAAGTGGAACTTCACCACACAAGGACGGGTTTAGGTACCTGTGTTGTGTTATTCTGGTTCAACTTTACGATTTTGTTAGGTAACACTAATCCGAACCGGAACTAAGTTTTTATTCGGACTTTTTTTATTGCTGCTTTGGGGGTGCTCAGCTTTAAAAGTGCGTTGGGTTCACCTCGTTCTAGCTGCGAGGGTTTTGTGTATTTTTGAATAAAATTATTCTCGTGGACATAATTAAGTTTTACGATAAATGAATAAATAAAACAAAATGTTATAATGACAGGTAAATATGTGATGGCTTATTTTCGTTCTGATATATAGGGTGGTTCAATTTTCACTAATACAGTGGTTAAGAACCGATTGCGGACTGCTGAATTAAATAATAGTGGTATAATAATTATAATCGCTTTAAATGAAGAAAAACGACGTTTATGATACGAAATTGAAAATTTTTCGTTTTTACCTTATAGATACAAATGAAACAATAACATAATATTTGAAATAATCACCATTATTTAAATTGTGTACATTAAATTTGCTGTTTTAAAATAAAAACTGCTGCAAGGATTGTCTTACATTTTTCAGTACTATAAAGAATTTAAATATTTAAGTATACATCAGTGCTTTTTAATTCCGCTGCGTGAAGATGTTTACTCTTTTCCATAATTAAACCTTGCCTTAAAAAAATAATCAAAACATCTTTAGTAAACAATCGTGTTTAATAAAAAAATATTTATTAAAATTAATAGTGTTTATAGATGCGACTTCTTTAAGTGGATGTTGAAATTAATTAAAAAAATAAGGGGCCTATGTCTTTTTTACAATTTTTGATGCACAAAGCAAACAATTTCTCTTCATTAAATTTTTTTTCAATGGTACACTTTTTTACTAAAACCACATTATTTTTGACTACAACACCAACAAAAGATGGTCACAGTGACTCTACTTTATATTTCTTTTAGATATCATGTATAGGGTCATGTTAGGTCACGTCAAGTCAGGTCATGCGACAAAATATAAGTGCCCAAATGGCCTCAAACGTTTAATTAATGTTAGAAGTTACGAGGTCGTAAAAGTTTGTTTAGGAGATAAATAGGGGACATCAGGGTATTTATATAAATAAAATCAAATTAAAAATTGACGTCCAGCCTTATATTGTGATAGATTATATATGTACATATATAGAAATAAGTATCTACTGTAATAGGGTCCACTCGGTGAATGGCTACCGTAAAGTATAAAAAATATATTAACCGTTTTCATTTGCCTCTTCTGATTTTTATGAAACAAATAATCTCCGAAACTACCGGACCGATTATTGTGTGTTTTGCGCAGTAAAGATATTTAAGTTTTATAAAAATAATGTACTCCTCTACTTGTTTTTTATGAATCAGCCGTGAGTTTATGAAATATCGATACATATTTGAACATTGTAATGTTTTAGAATTTTTTATCAACACTGTATAGTAAAATTTAATTTAATTGATATTACAACAAAGAGCGGATCTCTGTTTATCTTTCTAAAAATATGGTATAAAAATAACCGTATTCTTATTTTTTGGGTGGGTATTGCTAAATCCAAGAAATTTGGAAAACGTGACAACGTCGCATCTTAATTTCAAAAATAAACTATGGTTATAAAGAGTATGTAAAAAAAATAAAAAAATAAAACACGACCTATATATCTTTAGCCTTTAACTTTTGTTTTTATACATAAAAATTAATGAGATATCGGGGACCACGCTCAGTGGTTCACACTATATACATATTTCAATGCAAAAATTAATTTCTAAAATTTTTGTTTTTGTGAAGTCAAGCATCTTAATTTAACTGTTCGAGTTATTTGAAAAGACAGAAGTACCGAGTGACTAATGCTTTCATTTTTTTATCAGGTTGGCAACATTTAAAATTTTATGGTTGGCATACCTATTGTCAGATTGAAATTTTGGGTACCAAGGCAGTAATTCCTATCTTCACATTAGTTTTAGTAGCCCCGCCCACCCGCCCTATCTCAGTTGTGATGATTTTTTACTTCCCGAGCGTAAGCAAAGGAAATATTGTAATCGAGTCCGTCGGTCGACTCTCTACTTTTACGTTTTCTCGATCTTTCATGACCCCTAGAAGACGAAGAAATAGGTCTCCCATTTCCGTCTGTATGTCCGTCTGTCCGTCTGCCTCCCGGATTTTTATTAGACAGATAATCTCCGAAAGTACTGGACCGATTGTTGTGAAATTTTGTACTTATATTAGGAATATCATGTAGATGGTAAAACGCTAACCAAAATTTGTCTAATCATCCCCACCACTAATGCGATGACGTCACTTCAAAATTGTACATAGTAAATGGGTCTTAAATTGTATAAAATAACATAGTCCTACACATGTAGTTTACGACTCCGAATTCAGTTTTTACCCGGAACGTCCAGATTTTTGGAAAAAAAATCAAAATCATAAAACAACATTTTGCAATTTAATTTTGAATCTGCTAACCCGAATGTTTTAAAATGTTGCAGATGTTTTAAGGCTCTAAAGAGCATCATAAATCTTTAGTCAAAATATATTTGGTTATCCCCTCCAAAAACTTGATGACGTCAGCTCAAAAGTTTGCCGAATAAATCCTATCTAAAATGTACAAAATATGATGCGTCTGTACTTGTGATATATCACTCCATTCATATTTTTTGGATTTGCATATACAGGGTGACTCAAAAAAATTAATGAATGCGCAAAATTTATTTTACTGATTTACTCAGGAACTACAAAACCGAATGCTTTGAAATCTTGAAGATGTTTTAAAATTATCATGAGCATGGTAAATTTTTGATCAAAATGTATTTGGTCGTCCCCTCCTAAAAAATTTATGACGTCACCACAAAATTTTGCTGAATAAATCCTATCTAAAATGTACAAAATATGGTGAGTCTCTTCTTGTCATTTATCATTCCATTCAAATTTTTTCGATTTGCATATACAGGGTGACTCAAAAAAATTAATGAATGCGTCAATTTATTTTATTGATTTAATCAGGAATTACAGAACCGAATGCTGTGAAATCTTGGAGATACTTTAAAGTTATCATAAGGATGGTAAATTTTTTATCAAAATGTATTTGCTCTTCCCCCCTAAAAAATTGATGACGTCACTCTAAAATTTTGCTGAATAAATCCTATGTAAAATGTACAAAATATGATGAGTCTGTACTTGTGATTTATCATTCCAATCGTATTTTTTGGATTTGCATATACAGGATGTCTCAAAAAAATTAATGAATGCATGAATTTATTTTATTGGTTTAATCAGGATTTACAGAACCGAATGCTTTGAAATCTTGGAGATGTTTTAAAGTTATTATAAGCATGGTAAATTTTTTATCAAAATGTATTTGCTCATCCTCCCTAAAAAATTGATGACGTCACCCCAAAATTTTGCTGAATAAATCCTATCTAAAATGTACAAAATATGATGAGTCTGTACTTGTGATTTATCATTCCATTCATATTTTTGGATTTGCATATACAGGGTGACTCAAAAAAAATAATGAATGCGTGAATTTATTTTATCGATTTAATCAGGAATTACAAAACCGAGTGCTTTGAAATCTTGGAGATATTTTAAAGTTATTATAAGCATGGTAAACTTTTGTTCAAAATGTATTTGTTCATCCCTCCTAAAAAAATTGATGACGTCACCCTTAAATTTTGCTGAATAAATCCTATCTAAAATGCAAAAAATATGATGAGTTTGTACTTGTGATTTATCATTCCATTCATATTTTTTAGATTTTCTTAAGAGGTGGCTCAAAAAAACTAATGAAGTCAATTTATTTTATTGATTATATGTATTAAAGGCAACACTTATTATTAGTATTACATCGGACCAACCCAATTTGGTAGACACAAATTTTTTTAAAGTAAAAACTCGGTTGAAACATAAGGGTAGCACGCTTATTTACATCGACTTTAACATTACAGACGTGCATTTGTTTTATGCGCTGACTATAGGTTCCGCGAATGTGGAATAGACATGTTTATAATCAACCAATTGTGAATTTCACCGTCAAAAATAAAAATAAAACCCAATGTTTTATATAATAAGCGGAAGTCGAAGCAATAAAACCGATGGTCGTTTTGTTTACAGTTTCTCTGTTTGACTCTCACGTATGCTGTTACGCTTGTCATCTTAAATTAAGAATGTTTATACATAAACGATTTTCAGTTGCCGCATACGTGAGTAAATTGTTTCGTTATTTTATTGATTATAAAAAATCAATATTCAAAACGACCCAATTCATTTTCCCGAAAATTTGGGAATACAATAATTTTATTCTTAGTATTACACTACATCTATCCCAACTGATATACGTGTCCTTGCAAAAATGTTGATGACGTCATCGCAATTTTTTTTAAATTCCCACTACAAAAATGTAATGAGAGAAAAACACAATAGCCATGCAGTCGTCAAGTTTCCGACAGCGAGGGAAGTACTGTCTAAACTCTTTAGACCAATTTTTTTATATTCATCGTGCGCCAAGAAGGCGGAGCTTAACTGCAAAATTCTTATTTCTTTAGGAGAAATTAAAAACATGTTTTCGAGTATCAAAGAATACTTCTATGTATATATTAAGAAAAAAATAAAGCCAAAGATTAGAGCCGATACATACCCGCCCCGATCTCAATTCTCAATTGTGATGAATTTTTTCATTCGTTGTCAGATCGAGGGGCGGGGCTTAATTGCAAGATCCATATTTGTCTACAAGAATTTACCATTTTAATATGTTTTCAGTTTCTTGTTCTGAAACGACTACGTATATTAAGAAAAAGGCAAAATATAAGCCCCGCCCACCCGCCCTGTCTCAATTGTGATGATTTTTTTAATCGTTGAGCACCAAAGGTGAGGAAT